TCTGGGTTTTTCTCTTGGATTGCTATGGTGTTTTAGTCAATCACATCCTGTATAACTTTCAAAAATACATATAGCTGAGTCATATTCCATTGTATATATGAATCAAGATGTCGTTCAACAGATGAATGAATAAAGAAGATGTGGTTCATATATACAATGGAATATTACTTATCCATCAGAAAAGATGAATATCCACCATTTGCACTGACATTGATGGAACTGGAGGGGATTATGCTAAGTGAAATAAGTCAAGCAGAGAAGACAATTATATGGTTTCACTCATACGTTGAATATAAGGAATAGCGCAGAGGACCATAGAGGAAGGGAGAGAAAACTGAATGGGAAGAAATCAGAGAGGGAGACAAACCATTAGAGACTCTGGAGCCCTGGAAACAAACTAAGGGTTGCAGAAAGGGGAGTGATGGAGGATAAGGTAACTGGGTGATGGGTATTAAGAAGGACACATGATGGCATGAGCACTGGGTGTTACAACAAGTAATGAATCATTGAACACTGCCTCAAAAACTAATCATGTAGTATATGTTGACTACTTGAACTTAATAAAAATAATTATAAAAATGCATATAGCAACAGTACGTATTTCTCTAATTTTTTGAGCGAGGCTTGGATTTATATGGACATCCCTCTTAGGAGCACCTTTGCAGTATTCCATAGGTTTTGAACTGATGTGCTTTCCTTTTCTTTGGTTTCCATGAATTGTTTAAGTTCTTTAATTTCCTGGTTGACCCAATCATTATTTAGCAGGATGCTCTTTAACCTCCAAGAGTTTGAGTTCCTTCCAAATTTCTTGTGATTGGGTTCCAGTTTCAAAGCATTGTGGTTTGAAATATTCAGGGAATAATATCAATTTTTGGTATCAGTTGAGACCTAATTTGTGACCCAATACATGATCTATTCTGGAGAAAGTTCCAGGTGCTCTATAGAAGAATGAATATTCTGTAGTTTTAGGATGGAATGTTCTGTATCTATCTATAAAGTCCATCTGGCCCAGTGTGTCATTTACTGGATGACATCAAAGCCCTTTGTTTCTTTTTTGATCTGCTAGATGATCTGTCCATTGTTATGAGTGGGGTGTTGAAGTCCCCTACTATTAATGTATTATTATCAATGTGTTTCTTTACTTTGGTTATTAATTGGTTTATATAATCGGCTGCTCCCATGTTGGGAGCATATATATTTACTATTGTTAGATCTTCTTATCGGATAGACCCTTTAAGTATAATATAGTGTCCCTCTGCATCTCTTACTTCAGTCTGTCGTTTAAATTTTAAATTTTCTGATATGAGGATTGCTACCCCAGCTTTCTTTTGATGTCCATTGGCATAGTAAATTGTTCTCCGACCCCTCACTTTCATTCTGGAGGTGTCTTTAGGTCCAAAATGAGACACTTGTAGACAGCATATGGATGGTTCTTTCTTTTTTTATCCAAACTGATAACCTGTGTCTTTTGATGGGAGCATTCAGCCCATTTACATTCAGAGTAACTATTAAAAGATATGAATTTAGTGCCATTTTATTGCCTGTAAAGTCCATGTTTCTGTAGATTGTCTCTGTTATTTATGCCTATGTCACTCTTGGGGGTCCCTCTTTGCTTACAGTATCCCCTTTAATATTTCTTGCAGGACTTGCTTGGTGGTCACATATTCTTTCAGTTTCTGTCTGTCCTGGAAAATCTTTATCTCTCCTTTCATTCTGAATGACAGTCATTCTGGATAAAGTATTTTTGGCTGCATGTTCTTCTCATTTAGTACCCTGAATATATCTTGCGAACCCTTTCTGGCTTTCTAGGTCTCTGTGGATAGGTTTGATATTATTCTGATGTTCCTCCCTCCATACATAAGGAACCTCATTTCCCTAGCTGCTCTCAAAATAGTTTATTTGGCTCTAAGATTTGCAAGCTTCGCTATTATACGTTGGGGTATTGAGCTATTTTTATTGATTTTGGGAGGTGTCTTCTCTGCCTCTTGGACATGGATGCTTGCTTCCTTCCCTAGATTAGGGAAGTTCTCAGATATGATTTGCTCCAATATACCTTCTGGCTCTCTCTCTCTCTCCCCACTCCCTCAGGGACCCCAATAATTCTGACATTGTTTCATTTTGTAGCATCATTAATTGCTCTAAGCCTTTCTTCATGGGTTATTAGTTGTTTTTATCTCTTTTCCTCAATTTTCCATCAGCTTGTCCTCTAGATTACTTATTGTCTCTTCTGCCTCATTGACCCTAGCTGTTAGAGCATCCAATTTCAACTGCAGCTCATTTATAGGATTTTTAAGTTCAACCTGATTTTATTTCATTTCCACTCCCAGAGATTCTGTATTGTCATTTACGCTTTTTTCAAGCCTATCTATTAACTTTATATTGCTACCCTGAATTCCATATCTGAAAATTTACTTATATCCATATCGATTAGCTCTGTGTCAGAGAACATTACCTGTGGTTCCTTCCTTTGTTGTGATTTCCTCCTTCTAATCATTCTGCCCATGCAAGAATGGGTAAGTGTATGAAACCAGTCCAAAATATCAACCATGACCCAAGCAAAATATACCCTAGAAAAAATCCAAAGTTGTCAGAAGCTAAGTGTCACTAACTATCAGGAAAATTCAAATCAAAACCATAATGACATACCCCCTCACACCTGTCAGAATAGGTAGTATCAAAAAGACAAGGAATAACTAGTGTTTGTGAAGATGTGGAGTGAAGGAAATCCTTATGCACTGTAGGTGGGAATGCAAATTGTTTCATATTCTATGGAAAATAGCATGGATGTTTTTCAAGAAAAATAATAGATCTATCATATGATTCAGTGGTCTACTTCTAAGTATTTGAAAAACCAAAAACACTAATATGAACAGACACATGCATTCCAAATTAATTGCAGCATTTTTTTTTTTACAATTGCCAGGATATGGAAACAACCTAATCTGTGACTAGGTAAATAGATAATGAAAGAAGTTACACACACACACACACACCATGAAATAATAGTCATAAGAAAGTATAAAATCTTGCCGTGTGTGAAAGTATGAATGGACTTAGATGGTATTGTGTTAAAAGATATAAGTGAGACAGAAAAACACAAATACCATATAATTTCACTTATATGTGGAAACTAAAAACAAAACAAATGAACAAATGATCCAGAAACACAATCATAGATGCAGAGAACAAACTGATGGTTGCCAGAGGTCAAGGGATGGGTGGACAGATGAGAAATGAAGGCCATTAAGAAGTACCATCTTTCAGTTATAAAATAAGACATGGGGATGTAAAAAACAGCATAGGGAATATAGTCAATAATATTTTAACAACATTGTATGGTGATAGTTAACTAGACATTTTCGTGAAAATTTCTTAATGTATCACTATGGTGTACATCTGGAATTCATGTAATATGTTATGTCAATTATTCTTCAATAAAAATAAATGAATTGATTATGAATAATAAGCACCAAACCAGGGGTGCCTGGGTGGCTCAGTCATTAAATGTCTGCCTTCGGCTCAGGTCATGATCCCAGGGTTCTGGGATCGAGCCTTGCATTGGGTTCTCTGCTCCTCGGGAAGCCTGCTTCTCCCTCTCCCACTCTCCCTGCTTGTGTTCCTCTCTCACTGTGTCTCTCTCTGTCAAATAAATAAATAAATAAAATCTTAAAGAAATAAAGCACCAATCCAGACTGCAGTGCCTATTGTAAGCAATCTGCTAATGAAATTGATTATGTAACACTCAGTGAGATTGCAAGAGAGAAAGAAATCTCACCCACTTTTCCAGCCAATCTGGTTCAATCCATTACTTACATGTCTCAGAATATATAATAAAAAACTGTGTCCTTAACTAAAAGAATTTGACAATACTTCTTGCTACACATCATTTTAAATCCATCTAGTAATTGGGGGGCTATCTGTGTTAGTTAATTGCTTCTATCCAAAAGAAGAATAGAACTTTCATGACAGGTATCACAAGCAAGCAGAATTTGGAGTCATGTGTGTCTAGGTTAAACATACACAGTGACAGAGAGAAGGGAATACTATCATTTTTGATGTTTACATTTCAGACTGATACCCTTAGGTCTTTACGAAAGAAATATTTGAAGGTCAATACTGGAACAAAAGATTATGTAGCCCTCTAAAAGATATAAAGCAGGCAAAATTTAATTTTTTTAAGAAATATATTTAACCTATGGTTCCTCATTATGCCTATCCTATTGTAATACTCTAGAAAATTTATGTTGTATATTAGATCTTATACTTATTTTCTAAAATGGGAAAATACATAAATAGTGTTTTATTTATTCTTTTTTTAAGATTTTATTTATTTATTTATTTATTTATTTATGAAAGAAAGAGAGAGAAACAGCATGAGGGGGAGAGGGCCAGAGGGAGGAGCAGGCTCCCCGCCAACCTGGGAGCCCGATGTGGGACTCAATCCCAGGACTCTGGGATCATGACCTGAGCCAAAGCAGTCGCTTAACCAACTGAGCCACCCAGGTGCCCTGTTGTCTTTTTTCTTAATGTAAAAACATCATTTTTAAAAGTTTCACATCAATTTCATTATGTTATATAATATTAGGTAATATATGTTTTAAAGAAAGGAAATATTTGGTTGTTGCTGCTATAATTCTCAGTTTGTGCCTTTGTAATTAAATATTTAGGGGGAATTTACCATTCACTCAATTCATTAATCATTGACTCAATAATTAATTATTGATTGACAATATTTTCATCTGTTAAATGATAATATTTTATAACATATGGAATGCATATCAGGGATAAAGAATGAGAGTTATATAATTTGAATTCCAACCTAGGCAAAGGGAAAATACTATTAAATTTTTATTAAGACTATATGACTGTTGCCCATTGGCATCATGCCCTCTACTATCTCTTACACTAATAGTGTATTGTGTATCCTTATTTTAGATCTTTTAATTAAATGGCTACAGCTTACTAAGTCAATTAGCCTGGTCTACTTGTTTACCGATCAGATGGTCACAATCATGCCTGTCACAGTTTTAGTGATGATTCCACTGTTTTCGAAATTACTTCCAGGGCAATTCCATGTGATAGGACCAAGAGCACCAGTCATTGCCTTGGTTGGGGAAGAGGCTGTGTTGTCCTGCCAGATCAGCCCATCAATGGATGCTCAGAACATGGAAGTGAGATGGTACCGGAATGATCCTCTAGGCCTGGTGTATCGTTATGGCACTTCCTGGAATGATATGGAGGAGCTGAGGCCAGAATATCAAGGGAGGACAGAGTTCCTGAAGGAGAATATTACCAAAGGGCATGTTGCTCTAAGGATCCATCCCATCCAACCTTCAGATGGAGGAGATTATGCATGTTTCTTTGAAAGCTCCACATACTACAATGATGCAAAATTCCAAGTGTTGGTCACAGGTGAGTCTCTGCAATGAAAACCCCTACACAAATTGTATTATTATTATTTTTTCCTCAGCAGTCTAAAGTATCTGTGTATATGGATAGAGGTGGCTAAATCTATACAAACACTATGATGGAATACCAAGAAGGTTAAATATGTAAAATTCATCTGATCAGTCCATCCCAACATTCTTTGGCTGTAGCAAAAATATATTTATATTTGCATCTTTTCTTTGTCAACATCATTACTTTGAAGGAAAGAAAGAACAAGGGTTATAGTAGGTACTATCTCAGAAGACTCCCAGAAATGTATCTTAATTTCTATTTGGAAACACAGAAGGAACTAAACAGAGGCAGAAAGAATCTCACCAACCTGCTATCAGGCTAGGTTTTCTGCATCTTGCTGCCCATTTTGGCAATCGTCCAGTCAAATGTGGTGATGCTGACTCTCAGTATGACATCCTTGTTTATTCAGATCCCTGCATAATTTTTCCCCTTAGATCTCACTCCCTCTCAGATATTTTCTGCAAACATACAAAACAACAAAAACATACAGACAAACAAACAAAAACTGTACTACCAGAATGAAAGGTAAGGATTCTAATTCAACCACACACTGAGCCATAGTCAGCATTTTCTCTATAAACATTATAGGGCCTTATACTAAGCTCAGATGATGAGTTTCTCTATTGCCTCCTTTATAATGGGCATTAAAAGAAACTAACCCATCCATCAGATAGAGCAATAATATTGACCTTCCTCCCAAAAGCAGCAAAATCTTCTCCAGGATTCCCTGACCTATTTGAAATGCTCCTGCCTCCTAGTCAGTGATAATTCTGCATATGCCCTAAGTAATCCTTAATTGATGTTTACATAATAAAGGGTGGATACTTATATAATTTTTCATAAAATAAAGGGGGGTATTGTGAAGATACTTGCTTGCAAGTTTTAAACACCTTTTTGAGTCAAAGTTTTTGTTACCAGACACTTTGATCCACACATCCCCTAAGAGATTTTCTGCAGAGGCAGGGAGAGAATAGTTGCCACCTTCTGAGAATTCCTTTCTGGGTTTGGAGAAAATCTGCATCGTTAGGCAAGTATACTGGGGTTCCTCACTGCAGGACTTTATTGTATGTAAATGAATGTCACTCCCACTGGAAGCAATTTAACCAGGCACTAACAGGGATGAATGAGAAATTAGGCTCATCCATGCACTGAGATATACCTTTAGAGCAGGGATCATTCACTCTACTGTGGTAACTTCTGAAGCAATACAGGTGTTGGACATCCCCTTCTAGGAGTCCTACAGACATGTCCTAAACCATGGGCAAACCCTTATAAGGAGCTTTGAATTTGAGAGCCCGTTGTTACTGTTGCTTCTTTAATGAACAACATGTCATTTCTCAGGATCATCTCAATTTTCTTTATCTCAGACTTACTTGTTCTTTGTACAATTATCTTATCACTAAACAGAAAGCAACTTTCCACTATTCTTCCATTTTACCCCAGTTTCTTTAGAAGAAGGCATCTCCTATCTTGAAGCTATGGCCACTAAACTCTGACATTGTGCTTCTGCATGAGTTCGTTATCAACTCCAACAATGGTTAATTGGCACACTTTCTAGAGTCTACTTTACAATCTCCTATATCTTGTAGAGGAGGTTACCTGATATGTCCTTGATTTTTCCAAATCATATATACAAGGGAAGTTGTACTTGTTACCCAAGCACATTTTTTTTAAAGCTTATGGTGATCTTAATTTGCACTGTGGACATATATTACAAATAATAGCTATGAATTCAACCCACTTTTTACTAGGCCCAGAACATCCAGATAACTTTGGTTCACTTTTTCATGTTTCTTGTGGGTAATAGAAATATCTGGATTTTATATTCCAACTAGGTACAATATTTGCAGATGCAACCATTCACAGTGCACCCATGGGATGATTCCAAATTAATGAAAAGAGATGTATTTTTGATTTCTTAGGAAATTGTGTCTCTATCTGGCCTATTATAATATAAACTTGTATATAAATATTGACATAAGTGATCACAAATATGTTCTGAAGAATCCAGACTTTTTTTAAAAGACTTCTGTTCTCCCTAAATGTAGGGTGTTGTACTTTGAATATTTTCCAAATGGGCAGGATTTTTTTGCCACATTTTGTGGATTAAGGGGGGCCATCTCATTTTGTACCTGCTATCTTTAGTCATTATATATCATGAACATAAAGTCCTATGTTGCACAATGCTCTTACCTCCTTCAGGTGAATTATTTATGACCTTGTCTTATTTTTTCTGGGTTGGACCCATTTCTGTCCAACACCTATACCTAATGCAAAGTAGTGTCTGATGGTTTGTGCCATTAGGAGTTTCATCTGTTCCAGATCTTCAGACAGAGTCTTTAATGTTCTCTAGCAAGAGACCTCGTGTTTCCTTCTGATTCCTTTAGTTACTGTGATTTCTGGCATGCATTTCTTTAATCCATTTCTCCATTCTGGAGGAGTGACATTTGCCCCCAAATGAGTGACCAGTTCCTGATAGAGATGCAGTCTCTGCAGGCAGCTCCACAGTCCTACATTATCTCCTACAGAAAAGATTCTTCAATACTCCCCATCAAAACAAAAAAAATTCATTCCATGTGCTGTTTAAATATCCAGGGGGTTGTGGGTAATAAAATTTTTGCAGAACCCAGAACTTCAGTGAACACAAACACTAAATTATACTTAAAATCAATAATTATCCTTGCCCTCTACTATCTAACTAGTTGAACACTTGCAGGGTACAGGTAAGCAAATCCATCAATGGATAACTACAAATTAGATTGCAACCACAAATATAGATTGCAAACTTTTTTTAGGATTTTATTTATATATTTGAGAGACAGAGAGAGACACAGCAAGAGAGGGAACACAAGTAGGGGGAGTGGGAGAGGGAGAAGCAGGCTCCCCATGGAGCAGGGAGCCTGACACGGGGCCTGATCCCAGGACCCCAGGATCATGACCTGAGCCGAAGGCAGATGCTTAATGACTGAGCCACCCAGGCGCCGCATAGATTGCAAACTTAACCAAAATATTTTCTAAGTGATAAGAAATAAAACCAAAGGCCCTGATATTAGGTGAAATAATCTTGTAATGGTAGACAATATAGGTTTTCTCTCCCTACACTGGCCATAAGACAATGAAAATCCCAGTCTCAAAATGGGTAAAAAATGTATATAAGCCAGGCCTCAAGTATGCCCATTGGAAACCCACAATATTAGGAGAACCATGGTGAGTCCAAATTTCTTTCTGTTTATATAGACCACATTCCCTTTGGAATAGGACCCACCCTAATCCAGTATAATTTCCTCTTTACTAATTACATGTACAAAATGGTATCCAAATAAGGGGACAGATATTGAAGGTTAAGACTTGAACATATTTTTTCAGAAGACACAATTCAATCCATAACAGGGATAATTTTATCCTAGTAAATTTGATCTTTTGTTGTTGTTGTTGTTGTTGTTATAAACTGTATTAATTACTCAGCATAATATTTTGTGGACTGCTGCACTGCTATTCACTGAACTTCAAAAGACAGTAGTTTAAACCAGAGCTGCTCCTTTCTCGGGGAAAGTGGGGAGGGAGCCCAGAACTGGAAAAGTGACTAGACACCATGAGGTTTACACATCTTATCTTGATGTTTTGCCACATCCACATAATCCACTTTTGAAGATGACTCACAGACACTGTGTTCTCCAGCCCTTGAGAAGAGAGAAAGAATGAAGGGAAAAGTGTATCTCCTTCCTTTGAGGAAAATATTCCAGAAGGCACACATATCATTTTCATTTCAAACACTTCCACCAGCATATCAAAGCCACTCTTAATTGTAAGGGGTTTGGAGGATGCATTCTTAACCTGGGCTGACATATCAACTGTTAAAACTTATATTGTTCCCCAAATTGTTCTATGCAAAATGATGGCTAGTAGTCACATGTTGCATTGAAATTTAAATGTAGTTGATATACATTTAATTGATTAAAATATGAAATTCAGGTCCCTACAATATTCAGGAACTCAGTAGTGACCCATACCTTGTTCATTTCCACCACATTGATATTGGTAGCGTTCCCAACATCATAAGAATTTCTTATCAAAAATAACATCTTTAAAATTAGGGAATAAAAGATATTTGGAGAATGACTAGCAATTTGCCACAGAAAAATACCAATTGATGTGTGCCTTTAGCTTTAGAGGTTGCAAGTGATTTGATAGATGTTTTTCCGCCCAACTTTAAGAATCATCAGATAAAATAATCAGTAATGTTTCAAAGCAGAGAGAGGAAAAATGAAGACAATTAATACAGACATGCTGGGCATTTTGGTACTTTGTTAAATGTTGATATAGCTGATTTGTTTTCTCCAAAATTCTTTGGACTAGATAATTTTCTAACCTCCAATTTATAAATAAGGAAATTGGGTTTCATAGAAGTTAATTAAAATGTAAAATGGCAACAAAACACTTGGGGAAGTGTAATCTCTCTGTCTCTCCTTGGCTATTCTAGTCTCAGGTATGGCTCCTCATATTCACATTGAACCTGGAAATAGCAAGGACATTAAATTGACCTGCACATCCATGGGGTGGTATCCAGAGCCTGAGCTGCAATGGAGGGACCATCAAGGACTGCACTCGGCACCAGTCTCTGAGAAAAAGAAAATAGAAGAAAATGGACTGTTTCATGTGGAATCATCTCTCACAGTGGACAAAAGTTCAAGAGGAAAATTGTCCTGTGTTATAAGGAACCTAATACTCAATGTGGAGAAGGAAGTGCATGTTTCCATGGCAGGTCAGTTCCCTCCAAAGGCAGTATCTTGAGATATCACTGCTATTTGAGAAGATCTTACAGACAAATACCTATGACTGACACATCTAAATGAATGTTTTAGTTATCCATTTGTAACTGTTAGTATAGAGATCTTGTGAAAATCCATATTTTGTCTTGTTTTGTATTTCTTTTTATGATAGAAATGTCATTGTCGTACTTTATAAAAATAAATTGTGAATGCACAAAAGCATTCAAAGGGTGAAAAAGTATTTTGAGGAATCTTTCAAAGTTCCTCCTAAACTTCTCCTGATCCACTGCCTAGGGAAAACCACTTTTCATAATTTGGTGTTTTCTCCCATCTGTCAAATTCAATTTGCATCTTGGCATTGTCATTTACCCTTCAGCTTCATGATCTTGGGTAACTATTGAGCTCCCTGTGCTCAGTTCCCATCTGTTACATATAGGTAATATTAGTGTCCACCTCATGAAATTGCTATGAGTATTAACTAATATAATTAATATCATAGGTAGAGAAGAGCTCAGACACTCCAATCTACTATTTATGTCTACCCAAAATTATCTTTCAAAATAATCGTTTGCCCAAATGATTTCCTCTGACTCCTGTATATGCAAATGTCTTATTTATTTATTTATTTAGTTAGTTAGTTAGTTAGTTGAGAGAGAGAGAGCAGAGGAGTGAGAGAGAGAGAGATTGAGAGAATGAGTTGGGGGAGGGGCAGAGGGAGAAGCAGAGGCCCTGTGGAGCAGGGAGCCCAACGTGGGATTCCATCCAAGGACCCTGGGATCATGACCTGAGCCGAAGGCAGCCATTCAACCAACTGAGCCACCCAGGCATCACTTGCAAATGTCTGTATTTGAAATACTTCACCTTGTCAACAACACTCTATCTCTTGTCCTTTCTTATCTCTCGAGCTTCATCTTTCATCCCTCTCTTCCTTGTCTCCAACTCCTCCTACCCCACATTAATTCTCTGAACATATTTAGCCATGCAATACTCCTTGTAGGCTGTTATTGACACATTTGTTCTATTTTCCTGTCACTAAGAATTTCCTACTGGTCCCTCAGTTCTTCACCTTATCTTCCCAGGAAGCTGTCTTCAACCCATTCTGTGTTAAGTGCCCTCTTTACTCATATATTATTGTGATTATATGTTTCACTATTTCCCTAGAATAACAAACTCCTGAGGACACTATATCTTTTTTTCTTTTATGTCCCCATTTCTTAGAAAAATATCGAGCCATGATATACTTTCCTACAGTAGATAAATATTTGTATGTTGTTTTATCAACAAGTGAAGTGTTATTTCTATAATGCTTTAGTTTGGGAACTTGCACTGTTTTAAGATAATTAGAAAGAGAACTTGAGTTTGGAAATGTGAAAGAAGCAAACACATACACCAAAAAAGAGGATTTTTTTTCAGTAATCTTGGTAAAATAAAGTTAGAACAGAGGAAAGTAGCAGTCTCTTACTGAGATTTTTATACTGAAGAAATGAGTTGAAATATACAATAGGGTACATGAGTTTGGGCAATATCATAAAGCTCTTGAAAATATGAATGTGAAAGATAAAATATTTAATTTTTTATATTTATGTATTTGAGATCACCAATTAAAAATTCCACAGATATCGTCTAGAGATCTTAAATGAGGTTAGTCCTTGAACGAAAGTGTCCTTGATACCTCTTTTAAAAGAACAATATTAATTAGAAAAAATATCAAAACAATAATTAATTTTACTGATTTCAGTTGCTAGCTGACAGATGTCTCATAAGAAACTTTGAATTGAAATAAAACTCTGTCTCTAGAACCTAGACCATGGATACCATTTGGCTTATTATCCAAGATGTCACAATTTCTCCTTTAATCTTTAGAGAAGCTCCACATGCCTCTCACTCACTGGCATATTGTCAAGTTCACATATATGTTTATTTAGAAAATAACTGGATATAAAAGACACATGACAAAGTCAGTTTGAGGAACCAAAGGTGAAAATTGGAAAAAAATATGAAAATAAATAGTTTATTGCATTTGTAGATTTTTATTTATTATGAGAGAATTATTTGTCACAAATATAGTAATATTAATGTTTGCTAAATGTTGATTGTGGGTACATGGATGTCTGATGCATTATTTGTATGTTTTCATCATATTCAAACATTGTGATAATTTATAAAATAAACCTTCTGAGTCTCCATATGTTAGGAACAAGAAAGAAAACAGAAGCCTCTTTAGCATTCCTGAATTCTGTAAAACTTCAGGAGGGACAGGTGAGGCTTAGAATCAGTGCAATTCCTATCAATGTCTCCTAAAAGAGAACTTTTGGGATCTGTTCAAAGCAGCCAAGTCACTGATGCCAAGCTGGATGCTAAGTGAGACAATCTTTTTTTCAGATGCCATGTTCACTGAGGACTTTACTTGGATAGTGTTGTTGGCTGTTCTGCTGTGTCTCTTGGCCATCAGTGCAACCATCTGTGTTCTACTTGTGCGTGCTACAAAAGCCAAAGGTAAAGGAGAACAAACAAACAAACAAAACAAACTAAAAACAACAACAACAAAATCTGGGGGATTGGATTCATTTGTGGAAGAATTAGAGAATAATAGTAACACAAAATTCATAAATGGTTTGTAGGGGGTCTTTAGCTTTTAAAATTGGGAACAAGAAAAACTGAACAGAAAAAATAATTCTAAGTACAAACTCATGGCTCTGCATGTTTGTCAGAATATAGAGGTTGTCTGGTCAAGGTCAATCATTTTATCAAGAAAAAAATACACTTGGTTTATTTGTGATCTGGCACTTAAATTTGAGGATTTAGAAACTGGATTATTTCTCTGTTTATGTGCTTGTTTATGCAGCCAGAGATAATCAAATTCTCTGTGACATAATTTGTTAACTGAAGTCTTAGTTTAACATTAGGGTGGCATTTTCTGGTATCAGAATGCAGGTGTTCTTTCATATATTTTGGGGGTGAGGTGCAGGCTAGAGCAGTATTCAGAACATTTCTTCATGAACATAAGCAAGATGTTAACAAATTAGGGTTTTTACTCAGGCCATGACTACCTGTGACTGCCTTTCTCCAGGCCATAGGAAAAAAAAAAGTCTTATAAAAGAGCCCATTTTTTTGTGTGTTCTAACTTGATAACTTTTCTCTGAGCAGGACTGGCTACCCACAGCCTGTGGCACTTCTGTGCCTCAATTTTCAATGTGTCCAATGAGATCTTTAAAGAAATGCTCTCCTCAGAACTAATGTCAGTGCTGTAGACAGCCTTACATAGCTATTCCTGTAGAACTAGATGTATTTCTGTTTATTTTTGTTCTCCATTGATTGAGTTTCCAGTATCTTGATGGCTACTTTCCTGTAACATGATTTACCTCAACTAGTGTTAAAAAGAATCAGGACAATAATCAAAGGTAAAACTAAACAAATAAACAATAGCAACAACAACAAACCCAGAGTGTAAGAGATGCATAGTGCTGTTAAAGCTCTACTCTCATCACCTGCTAGTTCATGCAAACGATATACTTCATCCCATTAAATTGATGTACTGCATAGACATTTCTCAAAATGTCCAATACTGTCTACTTGGTCAATATGAAAAAGATAATTTTTCTAAAACTGTGGGAAATATATTTTTCAAGGCAGGAAAAGGGTATTTATCAGCTAGAGCATAATAGATCAAAACAGAAAGACATTAATGGGTATTGTTTGAAAAAATTGACTAAGTGGCTAATTATTTGGAAAATTTATCTAAATTTACAACTCTGATGTCATTGCTCATTATCAATCCACCAAATCAATCGATAATTGTTTTATTTAATTGAAAGATTAAAACAATTAAATTTCAATTAAAGAAAACAATTGTTGATTATACTGGAATTAAAATTAAAAACTTAATAAAAAATGATAATTGACAAACAATATCACATTGGTTTCAGGTGTATAACATCATGATTCCACAACTCTATACATTATGTTTTAATTGTTCAACACAAGTGTAGCTACCATCTCTCACTACACAACTGTTACAATACCAGAGACTATATTCCCTATGTTGCATCTTTCATCCCCAAGATTTATTCATTTCATAACTGGATGGCTGTACCTCCCACTCCCTTCCATGCCCTCGCTCCCCACTCCTGCAACCACCAGTGTGTTCTCTGTATTTATGGGTCTGGTTCTGCTTTATTTATTTTGTTTTTGACACTCCATATACAATTGCAACTCTATGGTTTTTGTTTCTATCTGACATCTTACTTACCGTAATACCCTCTAGGTTCATCCATGTTGTTGCAAATATCATCATCTCATTCTTTCTTTGGCTGGATAATAATCCACTTTACATATATATATATATATATATATATATATATTACCACATATTATTTATTCATTCATCTGTACGAGGACACTTATGTTGCTTCCATATCCTGGATATTGCAAATAGTGCTGCAATAAACATAATGGAGTGCATATGTTTTTGAATTAATGTTTCCATTTTTGGAGGGTAAATACCCAGTAGTGGAATTACTGGATTGTACAGTATTTCTATTTTTAATTTCCTAAACAAATTCCCTGCTATTTTCCACAACATCAAGTAGTGTGCCATTAAGTAGTTTGCCATTAAGTTTCCCATTAAGTAGTTTGCCATTTTGTTTTGTTGATAATTTCATTCACTGTGCAAAACCTTTTTTTAAAAGTATTTTTATTTTTTTAAGATTTTATTTATTTATTTGAGAGAGAGAGAATGAGAGATAGAGAACACGAGAGGGAAGAGGGTTAGAGGGAGAGGCAGACTCCCTGCTGAGCAGGGAGCCCGACATGGGACTTGATCCTGGGACTCCAGGATCATGACCTGAGCCGAAGGCAGTCGCTTAACCAACTGAGCCACCCAGGCGCCCTTTTTAAAGTATTTTTAAAAGATTTTATTTATTTATTTGAGAGAGAGAGAAAGAGACAGTGAGCAGGAGGGAGAGGGAGAGAGAATCTGAAGCATACTCTGTGA